TACAGCTTCTAAATTATGACCTAAGATATCTTTTGAATGGCTAGGTTTACGAAAAAAAACACAAGATAACTTTTTCGAAGACTACTCAATCCCCTATTGAAATGTTTATTGGGCTAAGCTTTATATCTATTTGTTGGTGAGATACAAAATGTTATTCATCGTCCATTGACAACTTTGTTTTTTTTTCTTCACTGTGTTTAAAATGAAGAAACAAAATGTAGATCTTACTAATGACAATTAATCCATACAAAAATTTAAGGGTAAATAATTGAAGAAGCAACTTTGTTTTATAAATTTGAGTATAACACGTTGAAGTATTTATATATGACTATTATTTTTTATGCAAATGATGTTTCTGTGGCCAGGATCAGTTTTGAATTAGCAGAAGCAGTATTCATAAATGTTTATTTTAGTACATTTTGTCATTTTTATACAAATATTGTTGTATCTTTTATTAATAAATAAGTATAGCATAACACCTAAATGACGTTTAATATACAGGGTGTTTCACTTACGTAGTCCGTTAGAAGTTGCTATCGCGAATCGCGAAATACATCGATTTAAAATTTTAACTGCGTAATTATTATTATTCGATTTAGACCTTTTTCCTAAATTATTTGGAACAAAATAATACTTTCTTTTTTACCGGAAATATCTTTAACTTTGTTATTATAAACAGGACACCTCATATATTTTTACATTTTTGAATTCGACATAAAATTCTGAGTAAAATGGCTATACTATAACCTATTCCTAAAATCAATATTTTTCGAGTTATTTATTTTTCAATCAAATATTTTTATTAATTTTATCTATTTTGCGTTCATAATGACTTCATTATAACACCGCTTTCGGTGCTGCAATAAGATACTTTATCCCACCCAAAATTTTGATTTTATAGGTTGGCCATACTTTAAACAGCATAATATTTAGCATATTGGTTATAATTTTTTGATGATTTTTCTAGTACTTACCATTAACAGCCGCTTATTGTAAATAAGTAAATTATAATTATTATTATAATTCCTTTTAAGGACGGCATGGCGAATCGATTTTGACATTAACTGTCAAACCAAAGACTGTGATACCAACTATCTAAGGTAAAATTCGACCAAATTAAAATTAAGGTATAAAATTAATTTTTTTATAGAATTTTTGCGACAACATGACGTCTTATGACATTAGTTCTTTAATATACTATTAAACAATGACAGATTAAGTGGTTGATACAAAATAGTATTAAATTTAAAATTTTTACATATACACTCAAAAAAATATTTAGTAAATTTACACATCTGATCGTTGGTTATTTTGATGCCACGTATTTAAATGTATATGTACAAACATACTGTAAAACTAAATATAATGTGTAAAAATGCAAAGGTCATGTAAATCTAAAATTTAGGAAAATAATAGTACAAGTACATTAAAAATTGTAAAAGCACATAAATTTAAGGATTTATTACATAATAATATGAAAAACTACATATTAATTTAAAAAAATACATAAATTGATGCTATTTTAAGTATGTGTGTACATGTTTTATATGGAACAACACATTTCTTAAGTAAAAAAACAGAAATAAATGTGTGTTTGGATGTGTAAAATTTCGTAAATTTTTTTCAGTGTATATTTATATAAATATTTATATATATATATATATATATACAGTCCGTTCATATTAAAACCGAATATATCTATATATATATATATGGGGCGTGGTCTCGCCTCCCTCCAACGCGCGACACAGCAAATAGACTGCATCTCTAATGAGATTTTTTGCATTATTATCATTTAATTTTTTAAGTCCTTACCTGCTCGACCTTTCGTCATGTCGTTTATCACACAAGCTACTGTGACGCGCCTTGGAGGGAGGCGAGGCCACGCCCCATTTATATATAGATATATTCGGTTTTAATATGAACGGACTGTATATATATATATATATATATATATATATATATATTTATATAAATTGTTCAATGTCTCTGAAATTTTAACTTTAGGAAACAGTTATTATAATACCAATCGAAAGATTCTTTAATTTTCTATTTTATTATGTTAACATTTATAATAAAAACGTTATTATTGTTTAAAGTTTGTGTAATTTCAAGTGGTTTTTCTCAAGCTATTTGTTGAAAACCCGTTAAAAAATTAAATTATTTAAACAACGTTTTAATATTCCAAAAATTCAAACCCCATGTCAGCAAACGTAATAACAAAAAAATTAGAGGCTATTTTTGATTGACGTGCATTTAGCAACATTTTAACGAACAAAAATAATATCTTGAAAACTATATATAGCATTATATTAAATATAAAAATGCAAAATAACTAATTACAAAAAAGCGAAAAACAACTGAAATAAAAATATACCTATACAGTTAGTTTATTCATTTTTATAAATTATTGTTTTAAGTTTATAGTACATGTACTAAGTGCACTTATAAATTGAAACGCAATTAGTCAACTTATAAACTGAACTGTCATATTATCTTTCATGCATCCAATGGTAGGTTACCATAGAGAAAAGTCTATGAAGCCCACTATGATCAAAATTAGTAAACTTGAAAAAAAATTAAATTTATAAATAAAAGTAATTTTAGCTCCATCTATGGCGATTTTTTAAAATAAATATGTAAAAATTGAAATTTTTTTTCAAAAAAATGCACCATTTAGATGTAGAAACAAGGTTAAAAAAAATATTTAATTCTGGCATCACTCGCAAACAAATGTCCAAAATTTGTTCGATTTTTACGCGAAACCATAGATACTATTGTAAGAGTTCATACGTCTTTTAAGGTGCCAGGCAACCAATTTTTCGATGAATAAGTTAAAAAAAAGTAATAGTAGATTATTTGAATAGCCCAAAGGTATATGTTATTTTATTATAATTTGATTAAAGGTATTGAATACAGAAAAGTGTTTGTTACTGGCAATAAATGATGGAGGTTTCTGAAAGCTTACGAAGCTTGAATTCGCAATGAGCAGGGTATTTTATGCCTTACTATTTTATCTTTAAAAGCCGAAACAAAGTAGTAAAGAAACAGTTTAGAGCAACCTGTATAATTAAATAAAATACCAATAAATTGTCTTTAAATTTTACCTAGTATATAATTCAATAGGAGTGAATATTAAAGGAAAATATAGCAAAGGATATTTACTTTAATTTTAAGTATTACTTTTTTGTTTAAATGCAACTTTCATACTTATTCAATCACCTTTAACTCCTCGTTCTTAATTTATGCATGAAAAATTCAAATATAAAGTGCAACATCAATTTGTAAGATAAATTTCAAGAGTGGTATTTTTATCTTGCCTGAAAACTTGGTTTCAGTCCAAACATCTTAAATAATGCTTTGGAAAACTTATGCCAGATTCTTGAAAAACTGAAGTTTTTTTAATTTTTCCTTTTAATACTGTATCATAAATAAAAAAACTGATATTTATTTTTTGGCATAATCTATAGTTTATATAGCGAAACTAACGATTTGTATTTGTAAACTAGAAATATTATTGCTGAAATAATAATGGAAATTTATTCCTCGAAAATGGAGTAAAAACAGTTTAAATCCTATAGCAGTGTCATAGAAACATGTACGATAATGGGCGTTTTAAAGGTGAGAGTAGAAAATAGTATATTATGTATCGTTTGATAAACGCCATTTTAGTCACGAATTTAATTTATTTTATTCGTATAAAGCGACATCTATACGCAAATAAAGTAACCATTACAATAAACATTTTTGAAGTAATTTTTCCATAAACATTGCCCGTTTTATTTAAATATTATTTTAAATAAACTTAACAATAATTATTATTGATACTTTAATATATTAAAATAACTTTAAAATATGATTATGTTAAGAAAATATTTTATACTTATATACTTATACTTATACTTATAAGAAAACCCAAAACAAAGGACTCCCTGAGCTTATATACTGGGTTGGTAAGCCAACAGATTTTATACTTTGATAATAATAAAAAATACTATAATTTAGAAATATCAATATTAAAAATTTCTACACGGAAAATGTTAAAGTGGCAGTTGTATTTATTGGAATTTCAGTTAGAATTTCTAACTTGCGAATCTACCTGAGATAAAATTTCAAATTTTTCTGTGTAAATCAAAATTTATCCCTTGAAAATAGACTAACAATCAATATAGAAGCAGTTTTTCATAGTAAAAGAGAAGATAATGTTTGATGGGCACTGTACGCAACATTTTTCACGCTTTACTACAGCGAAATCAAAAGGTCAGTTCCTATAATCTTTTCAATTATTGGCGTCAATATTTAATACTTTTGTATTTTTGTATTGAGATAATAAAATAATTAATTAAATTATTATTTATTATTAATTATTAAAAATTTTTACAAGGCACATTATTAACTTCAGTCCGAGACTAAAAACCTGTTGCTAACTTCAGCCCGTGACTAAAGGGCCATAAAGCCACAACTTGTCAATGTTTCTTAAAAGGTCACTTAGTGTCATGGAAACATGTACGATAATGGGCGTTTTAAAGGTGTGGAAAAAATAATTTTAAGACAATATTTTTCATTGTTTCAGATATTGGGATCAATTTAAGTCATATCTACAGTTGGCTTTTGCGGAGGACCCAGATCTGTTTAAACCCGTCAATTTCCTGCTTAATCGAATAATTCCCCCAGGATCACGTCTCTATTGAATACCACTTAGCCAAGGATTATTGCCTAAGGTAATTAACTATAAAAAGATTTTCCAACAGAGAATGTATAAATAAATTTAAAATATATTAATATTTATATTTATTTATTTGCTCAGTTTACCATTTTTGTAGTCAAAAATAATTTACTTTTTTCGCTTTGCGAGATGGGAAAGCACAATGAAATAAAGTACTCCCGGTGAAATGATTAGTTCGTGTATGTTTTGTTCTTTGTTGGCAGTTCTATTGTCATTGTTTAATCTGGTCTGCTAATTTGTCAACAAATTTTAATCATTTACTTTATTTTTTTAGATTTGGATAGAATCCCAATAGCAACGGGGGCTTGGTTGGCCAATTTTTTGAGACGGTTTTTGAGTGTCGTTCCAGCAGTCACGCTGCGTCTCTGGCCATTGAGGGGTGTTGTTCGTGGGATGCCATCAGTTGTATGCGTGACGTCGCTGGCAAGACCACGTTGCCGCTGTTGACCGAGAGGAATGGGCTGGCTTCTGACCGCTGTGCTGTTGCTGGCCCTTATTGTACTCATGGGTAAGTTACTTACACCAAAGTTTTACTTAAAAAAACATCGTTTTGTTAACAGTATATTCATTTAAGCGATTCCCCAGAACACAGCAGTTGCACGCGAATAAGACACATGCTATTGGTCGAACTGCGATAAAAGGCGTGGCCTCGATTTTTTTTATCTCCGCTTGACCAATAGCGCACCGAACACGTGGCTACTATGTTTGTTTATCTTGGGGAATTGCTAAAATGAATAATTAATGCATATGCATTTTTAATGGAGAAATCTCGTTGCCATATCCTTGTCATAGTAGACACTACGTAAAATATTGTTTATTGCAGCCTGCAATTTGCAGGTAATAATTTATGTTTTGTGCAATGTTGGCAATTTATATCCCTATTAATGTATGGGCTATTTCAAGACATTGATTTATGATAGAAGTAAATGGTTTAAAAAGAAATAATATAATATTCAGTTTGCTAAAAGAATTTTTCTTACCTTCTTTGTTCACTAGTAGAAAAAAAGCCGATTCTAGCCCACTAGTTTACATGACAGTCGCATGGTGGCGATACTTGCTGGCTCTCTACACCGCTATTTTGGATTTCCAGATATCTAGAGGGTGCTCCGGGGTCCCACATCAAGGTGTAACCTTCATGAAGGTATTTTTCGTTTTGATTATGAGTATGAGTATAAGAGACGTATAACCAGCCCCATTGCCTCATCGCTCCCAGGCCCCGTACAGGCCTATGCTTCCTTACGCCGATTTTCGTTCGCCACCAGCAACTGCACAGCTTCACCCGTGTTTTCTGGGTGCGAATGTCCATTGCGTTTCGTACTGTCCCCTACTTAGGGCTCGAGAGCGAAATGCCAATAGTTTAAATAGCCATTCCCGGGTTCGCCGGACCGATGCTATACGCCTATAGTAGGGTCATAAAGGAAGTAGGACGGGAGGGATACACATTTTTGGTGTTTGGGGGACAATTACTCTGACTTAAAGTACGACGCGGAATCTCTTCTAGACCAGGCAATTAGTATTGCTCCGTTATTGTCTATGTCCAAGTCGGATTGTTCCTGCACTTGGTATAGTGATTCAGTTGTTTTCTTTATCTTATTTTTATTGTTGCTTAGTTGCTATTTTTTTTACTTTTAGTGTATAATGTGTTTACAAAATCCATTGAAGTTTGATGATTGTGCTATTTTTACTATGTTTGGGTTTTCTTAATTTATTAAGTGTTAGTTTATGTTCTAAATGTCAAATGGTATTGTTATTATTGGTCTCGTTTGGATTAAACTTAAACTTTGTTTTGTTGGGGCCGTTCTATTAAGTTACTGGGTTTGGTGCCTTACGCGTATTGTCCTACTCAGCTTTGATGTGTATGATCGCGATAGGTTCGGATGGGAAGTTTTTTTTTGTTGTCTTTTTTCTTTATTTTTTTATGGTGTTTGGTTAGTATTGTCTTTCTATGTTTCTATTGTTACTGATGTTTATTGTTTTTTTTCTAGAGTTTAAGCAATGTACCTCTCTTAGTATAGGGTTTTAAAGGTATCTGTCGTGTTTAATTTTGCAAATTATGTGTTAGGTCATGCAGGTGGTTAAGGATACTTATCAATTTTTGCAGATGGCTTATTCTTCCCTTGTTTGTCCTCTTTTGTTTGTCTAGTGAAAAGCGTCCAGTATCACTTAACACTTAACTCATTCTTGACCGTAGGGTAGTCTATACTCACTGTTGTTGTTACACTATAATTTGTTTGCACTTTATGAGAAATTATTTGTTGGTTTTTGCTTTTACGTTTTAAGAGCTCGCGCTGCTACGATGCGTCTTGCTATGTCAAGTGTTGGAACGTGACTGACCCATGAAGGTATTTTTCGTTATGATTTCAAAATGGCGGTCCTCGTGTAGAAAGCCAGCAAGTAGCAAATTAATTTGATATCCTTGTGCTTGTGCTTTTGTAATTAAAATCTATTTACGCACAGAACATAACTATGTAAAATTAACATCTTCATTTTAGGTGTAAAAACAACTATTTTTCTCGGTAAAATAATAAAAAAAAATTGCTCAACTTATGTATATTCAAAATCAAGTGTTCTGTTTACATTTCTAAATGAAAAAAAAATTGGTACTCTTGTAATGTAAAATTTGGGTTCCGCATGAAATTTCGTGCTCAATTTTTTGATAAAACTGACTAGTTCCGCTGCAATACCGAAAAATCATCAAAATTTATGGTTAGTTGAACTTTGACCTTAACTTTTTAACCAATTAGTCTAGCAAAAATTAAAGGACACCTTTTTTGTAGAGCGTTTAATTCTCTACAAAAATATCTAAACATATTTTTTGTATGACCTTTGGTTGGTGAGTTACAAAAGTCAGAAGGAACAAAAACAATATTTCCCATGTTATTCTTATGGAAAATCGAAAAGTGCGATGCGGAGCATTAAGATAATAAAATTATAGCTCATATTTTTATACCTAAACTTTTGAGCCTGTTAGCAAGAAAAAAAAAATTTGCTTTTTTTTTAAACATCCTAGTGGCCATATAGAAAAACAGTAGTTTCCGTATGCGACATAATTTAGTAGAGTAGAGTATCTAGTGCACTTTCTTAAGAGGTTTGTTGTTCCAAGCGGCAGGGCTCCCCTCGCCGCAGGGCGCCCACGGGCAGCCGCAGGCCGGCGTCCCGCAAAGCACTCCGAGTCCGAACCTGGGCTTCCCGATAGGGGGCGCCGTCGGCGGCATCAGACGCACTCTAAGCGGATGGCGGGAATGGCGCAGGGCCGATCCGACCCTGATAAACAGCCTGTGGCGCAGCAAAATGGGCAACGGGATCAGGAAACAATTAGGCAAGTAAATTTACACTTAACGCTCTTCTAGTTGTTTACTAAGTTTAAAAGGCACTCATTCGAAACACGACAAGAAGAAAAACGATTAAATAATAGAATACGAATATATCCATATACAAGGCTTCCCAAAAGTCCCGGGACGGAGCTTTAATTTTAAAGGAGTTAAGAAAAAAAAATTTGGGGATCACTATAGGATCATAAAAACTACAATGTTAGACTGTTTAGAACTTTCATGCAACGTGAAGTTTTTTAAGGGGATGACCACCCCAAGATTTGAAATAGCAACTCCTGTCGAGTTTTACCTTATTTTAAAGGTAATGAAAAATAAACACACCCCCTAAAACAAAAACCCAATGTCTAGTTTCTTTAGAGAGTTATGATGCGTTGAGTACCTAATGGGAAAATAAAATATTTTAATGTATTTAATGTTTTTATTGTTTTTTGCACTAAGGAATTTAAAATAAAAAGTAATAATACAAAATATGGATGTTTTTTTGACATGATATCAATTGCTGTGTTTAATTTGCGCCAACCTTCTTACTTTTATTATTTAGTTAAATCGAACTAATTCTAAAATTTGCTTTAACTCTAAAAATGGCGCAAAAACTTACCGAAAAAGAAATAATCACTATTTTAATGTTTTGTGGCTTTGGGGATGGAATAAGATCTTATAATAACAATGATTTTTTTCATCAGCGACCCCGATTTCTAAATCAACAGTAGAAAGATGAGGCTACACTGAAAAAAATTATCTCACTTTTATTTTACTTTTGTAGTAGTAAAGTGACTTTGACTAACTAAAACAGGGACAATGTTATTAGTATTAATATTAAATGAGAGATACACACCACTACGAAATGGTATACTCTGTAAATTAAATTTACCACTACTATAAGTGGCACGGATTATAACAAAATAGTTAAAAATTGTACAATGCAATGCAATGGTTAATTTTACCATTACAACTAGTTCGTAATAAAAAGCTTACCACTACAAATAGTAATTTTTTGACGTTTACTAGTACTCTGGTTAATACTAATAATGTTATAATTAATGAAATTTGGTACGAATGAAGGGGCAACGGAAAAATTTGGCCATTTAGTGGTTGTCTGTTTACGGCTTTGCATAGTACGTAGTTTTGTGATATACTGTTTTTATCGTGTTGTGAGTAGGTGTGGAACAGTTATTAAAGAACTGGGATATTGTGGAACTACTCATTTAACATTTTAACCGATACGGATCGTAAAACGCATTTTAACTATAGGACCTATAATACCTGGTATTATAATATTGATTTTTGGGGGTTAACTATAACTCGTCTTCTCTCGATGTTTTAAAGTAATACCCACCTAATGCATATGTTACCGGCAAGGTTTTTACTTCTCACATTCACTAGAAAGTGTGCGCAACACTTATTTAGAAGAAAAAAACTACAAACAAAAAATTAATTAACAAACACTTGTTATTTATATATTGGTTGGGTTGGGTTTTTACTGCATAATTCAATTTCTCTAAAAATATTCGTACGATTATTTAAGGATATTTGTACGTTCCTTCATGTTTTTTATTAATTTAGTTATTTCATAATTTTTGTAGGTCTTATTTAACTTTTATTTTTGTGGAAATTCATATAAATAATTTTATTTTAATAAATAATGTTTTTAGTATAATTGTCATTTATTTACTACCTTACCGTGCTGTTGAGAAAACCTAATTATAGGGGTAAGTGCAATCAATAATACAAATTAAACGATTAATTTGGCTAAGGTTCGCCTGTTATATCCTGTTTTAAAAACTATTTTAAGTAGCTGAAATAATATACTAAGCGTACCATATACCAATATGTAGTCGTAAGTTTCCACATTGTGTAGTGGTAAAAGGTTTTAATAAAACATGTAATGTAATAACAACATGTAGAGTTAAAATTTAATTAAAGCAGTAGTGGTAACGATCACTTTGCTGTAATGTCAATTCGTAATAATAACTCATTGCCATTCTGTAATGGTAGCAACTAAGTTCTACTGGTTGGCGCCTATTTTACCATAACCATGGGTATACCCATGGTATACCGCTGACCCCTTTTTTTTAGTGTACTTTCTACTTAAATTGTAAGGTTAAAGCCGCGTCCAGATTTGTACCGCGTCGCGCAACCGTACCACGTCGCGAGCCACGTTGCGAACCACGACGCGAATTTCATCCCGCAACCACGTACGCCGCCTCGAACAACATACCGTACCTCGGGTTGCAACCATTGCCGCGTTCCAATTTTTAGTCAGATTTTAAAATGGATATCGCTGCAGCAGCGTACATTTATATTCATTTCGCTTTATCAACTAAAAAGCGAAAACAAAAAAGGCGGTGGTGGCAAACAGAAATATTTAGAAATAGACCGAAATATGGTGCGAACAAATTGCTTGCAGATTTAAAGATGCAAAGAATTAGTGGTCAATATAAAAATTTCACTCAAATGTCAACAATAGATTTTATAGATATTATCTTCTTAATGCAATTGGGCCCAAAATAGGAAAGCAAGATACCAAGTTTCGAAAAGCAATCTCAGTGCAAGAAAGACTAGCTGTAACATTCATTTTGCCTATATAAACTAATTAAAAGTAGAATATTTTCTTCGGTCCACTCCATTTCATACACAAAATAAAACTAAACAAACAAAATTGCCCTTCTGCCCGTCCAGACTTATTCAACGTCGTCGCATACCAATCCTTTGATGTTTCGTCAGTTTACCGACAAGTCGTGGATCGCGACGTACCTCGAGCTGCAACGCTTATTAAGCCGCGTCCAGATTTGTACCACGTCGCGCAACCGTACCACGTTGCGAACCACGTCGCGCGCAATCTGGACGTCGAAACGAACGCCGTCGCGAACCTAATAAGCGTTGCAGCTCGAGGTACGTCGCGATCCACGACTTGTCGGTAAACTGACGAAACATCAAAGGATTTGTATGCGACGACGTTGAACAAGTCTGGACGGGCAGAAGGGCAATTTTGTTTGTTTAGTTTTATTTTGTGTATGAAATGGAGTGGACCGAAGAAACTATTCTACTTTTAATTAGTTTATATAGGCAAAATGTTACAGCTAGTCTTTCTTGCACTGGTATTGCTTTTAGAAACTTGGTATCTTGCTTTCCTATTTTGGGCCCAATTGCATTAAGAAGATATTCAAAATCTATTGTTGACATTTGAGTGAAATTTTTATATTGACCACTAATTCTTTGCATCTTTAAATCTGCAAGCAATTTGTTCGCACCATATTTCGGTCTATTTCTAAATATTTCTGTTTGCCACCACCGCCTTTTTTGTTTTCGCTTTTTAGTTGATAAAGCGAAATGAATATAAATGTACGCTGCTGCAGCGATATCCATTTTAAAATCTGACTAAAAATTGGAACGCGGCAATGGTTGCAACCCGAGGTCCGGTATGTTGTTCGAGGCGGCGTACGTGGTTGCGGGATGAAATTCGCGTCGTGGTTCGCAACGTGGCTCGCGACGTGGTACGGTTGCGCGACGCGGTACAAATCTGGACGCGGCTTTAGGGTCGCGACGGCGTTCGTTTCGACGTCCAGATTGCGCGCGACGTGGTTCGCAACGTGGTACGGTTGCGCGACGTGGTACAAATCTGGACGCGGCTTAATAAGTACAATTGTCTTTATTGGGGAAAATCCACGTCTAATAAGAGAAGATCATAATCAGGGACCGCAGAAAATTAATGTATGAGCTGGTATTATGGGATTGAATGTAATTGGTCCATTTTTTTATTAATGGAAATTTAGACGGAGACAAATATCTCTAACTGTTAGAAAATCAAGTGGTTCCAAGTGTACGTGCCTTATGCCCTAATGTCATTGACAATAAGTGATTCCAACTCTCCACATTTTAGTCGCGTAGTCCCAGACTTTTTAAGCCGCACGTTTCTAAACCGTTGGTTTGGTAGAAGACGTGAAATTGAGTGGCCACCACGATCTCCTGATCTAAACCCACTCGATTTTTTTCTTTTGGGAGGTTTCTAAAAAGTAAAGTGAATGCAACAAAACCAGAATCAATAAATGATTTGGAAAATCGCATACTTGGGAAACCACCAATATCACTAGAGATTTGTTATAAAAATCGTAATAAACGTGCAAAAAACATTCAAACATTTTATTTTCCCACTTGGTAGTAAACCCCCTCATAACTCTTATGGGGATGTGTTTCTTTTTTCATTACCTTTAAAATAAGGTATATATTTTCAAATTTTTTCTTCACTCCTTCAAAAGTTATAGCTCCGTCCTGAGACTTTTGGGAAGCCCTGTATTTTTAAGTTCCAGATATACAGGGTGTCTCAAAAGTCAAGGACATTAGAAAAGGGGTTGATAGAGGATGGAATTCTAAGTCGAATAGTCTTTCCCGTTTTTTGATTGGACGCACCTTTAATAAGTTATTAATAAAATAAACGCAGGAGTGTTTTAGCAGAATAATTAGAGGTGGGATAACTATAATGTGCAGCTTTATATATCAAAAGTCAAGGACATCAGAAAAGGGGTTGATAGAGGATGGGATTCTAAGTCGAATAGTCTTTCCCGTTTTTGGATTGGATCGTAGTGTAAAATGACGTTTATTTTATGGTTGAAATTGTCACTGTCATTGTTTTAGTTTTTAGGTTAGTTTTAACTTGAGACATTATTTTTTTAGGGAAAATTGGTGGCCGTAATAAAGATTAATACCTAATCGTTTTAAACGTTGTGTTTCTTACAGAAGCGCTTGTAAGCCTAAAAGTGCTAAGAACAACCGTTTTACTACTCTTTTGGTAAAAATAAACCTAATTCTATCAGGGGTGTCATTAAACTGTCATATTTAAATTTTAAGGTTAATTTACCATAACCCACAAATTTAAATTTTATAGTTTGATGACAGCCCTGATAGAATAAGGTTTAAAATGGTTGTTCTTAGCACTTAAAGGCCTCATTTGAGGCTTACAAGTTCCTCTATAAGAAACACAACGTTTAAAACAATTTT